TTTCTGTGACCAGTCACAAGCTAGTCACTCAGCTATTTCAATGCTAAATTCTCCTGTTTGATTTGTACTAGGTGCCTCTGTGGATGTGTAGGCTTTGACTTTAACAAAGCTATTTCTGTGACCAGTCACAAACTAAATCCCTCAACTGTTTCAATGCTAAATTCTCCTGTTTGATTTGTACTAGGTGCCTCTGTGGATGTGTAGGCTTTAACTTTAACATAGCTATTTCTGTGACCAGTCACAAGCTAGTCACTCAGCTATTTCAATGCTAAATTCTCCTGTTTGATTTGTACTAGGTGCCTCTGTGGATGTGTAGGCTTTGACTTTAACATAGCCATTTCTGTGACCAGTCACAAGCTAAATCCCTCAACTGTTTCAATGCTAAATTCTCCTGTTTGATTTGTACTAGGTGCCTCTGTGGATGTGTAGGCTTTGACTTTAACATAGCTATTTCTGTGACCAGTCACAAGCTAGTCACTCAGCTATTTCAATGCTAAATTCTCCTGTTTGATTTGTACTAGGTGCCTCTGTGGATGTGTAGGCTTTGACTTTAACATAGCCATTTCTGTGACCAGTCACAAGCTAGTCACTCAGCTATTTCAATGCTAAATTCTCCTGTTTGATTTGTACTAGGTGCCTCTGTGGATGTGTAGGCTTTGACTTTAACAAAGCTATTTCTGTGACCAGTCACAAACTAAATCCCTCAACTGTTTCAATGCTAAATTCTCCTGTTTGATTTGTACTAGGTGCCTCTGTGGATGTGTAGGCTTTAACTTTAACATAGCTATTTCTGTGACCAGTCACAAGCTAGTCACTCAGCTATTTCAATGCTAAATTCTCCTGTTTGATTTGTACTAGGTGCCTCTGTGGATGTGTAGGCTTTGACTTTAACAAAGCTATTTCTGTGACCAGTCACAAACTAAATCCCTCAACTGTTTCAATGCTAAATTCTCCTGTTTGATTTGTACTAGGTGCCTCTGTGGATGTGTAGGCTTTGACTTTAACATAGCTATTTCTGTGACCAGTCACAAGCTAGTCACTCAGCTATTTCAATGCTAAATTCTCCGGTTTGATTTGTACTAGGTGCCTCTGTGGATGTGTAGGCTTTGACTTTAACATAGCCATTTCTGTGACCAGTCACAAGCTAGTCACTCAGCTATTTCAATGCTAAATTCTCCTGTTTGATTTGTACTAGGTGCCTCTGTGGATGTGTAGGCTTTGACTTTAACATAGCTATTTCTGTGACCAGTCACAAGCTAAATCCCTCAACTGTTTCAATGCTAAATTCTCCTGTTTGATTTGTACTAGGTGCCTCTGTGGATGTGTAGGCTTTGACTTTAACATAGCTATTTCTGTGACCAGTCACACGCTAGTCACTCAGCTATTTCAATGCTAAATTCTCCCTTGTTTGATTTGTACTAGGTGCCTCTGTGGATGTGTAGGCTTTGACTTTAACATAGCTATTTCTGTGACCAGTCACACGCTAGTCACTCAGCTATTTCAATGCTAAATTCTCCCTTGTTTGATTTGTACTAGGTGCCTCTGTGGATGTGTAGGCTTTGACTTTAACATAGCCATTTCTGTGACCAGTCACAAGCTAATCCCTCAACTGTTTCAATGCTAAATTCTCCTGTTTGATATGTAAACCCCTTTGTCAAGGTGCCTCACTTTCTCTCAACCGGCTTACAAGACGCTGCGAATCTTAGCAGCCTTCATTGTGGCTCTGTCGTCCCGACAGGTTTGTTCCTTTCACCTGAAGGCCACTTGTGTTGTGGCCGAAACGTCGTGAGAATTTCATTGTTTTATTCTATTATTTTATCCTCATTCTACGTGGTGACTTTACCGAAAGAACCAAAGAAGACGAATCCTTGCATTCACGAAAGCTTTAAATCGAAACATAAAATGACCGTAAAGCACAAGAGGACCGGCACGGCGGAGGGGAGTTTACAAATGTTGCTGTGAAGGGAAATAAGCTGCTGTGAAAGTTTGGTATATCACTACTTGGATAAATATACCGTACCATTGAAAATTAGTTTAATGTTTGGTATGGTTTAGAACATCTTTCCAATGGTTGCTCAATTTGAAACCGTCTTCTCGGTTGAAATTGTGTCTGTGTTTGTAAATCTGAATTGCCTCGTGGATAAATCTCGGATGAAAACCCGTGGGTTTACAAATCCTAACCTGCTAACATAAACATTGTTTAGTTCATACTCTTGGTTCTTTCGGTAAAGTCACCACGTAGAAGGGAAACAATAAAATAATAAAAATATAAAACAACAAAATTCTCACGTTTCGACTGCAACACAAGCAATCATCATCAGAATATGAATCCCTGCAATCATGAAAGCTTTAAATCAAAATGTATTGTTTAGTTTAGTCTATGGGTCTCTATGTATAATCTCTATGGGGCTCTATGTGTATCTATGGGTCTCTATGTATAATCTCTATGTTTATGTGGGTCTATATGTGTATCTATGTATCTCTATATATCTCTATGGGTCTCTATGTATCTCTATGGGTATCTATCTATCTCCATGGGTCGCTATGTATCTCTATGTGTCTCTATGTATCTCTATGGGTCTCTGTATTTATATGGGTCTCTATGTATCTCTATCTATTTCTATGGGTCTCTATGCATCTCTATGGGTATCTATGTATCTCTATGTGTTTCTATGTATCTCTATGTATTTCTATGGGTCTCTATGTATTTCTATGGGTCTCTATGTATCTCTATCTATTTCTATGGGTCTCTATGTATCTCTATGGGTCTCTATGTATTTATATGGGTCTCTATGTATCTCTATTTCTATGGGTCTCTATGTACCTCTATGGGTCTCTATGTATCTCTATGGGTCTCTATGTATCTCTATGTGTCTCTATGTATCTCTATGTGTCTCTATGTATCTCTATGTATTTCTATGGGTCTCTGTATTTCTATGGGTCTCTATGTATCTCTATCTATTTCTATGGGTCTCTATGCATCTCTATGTCTCTACGTAAGTTTAGTCTAAAGATATTTTTAAGATGTCCAGTTGGTTCGGATCAGAATGTCAAAGTATAAGTTATAGACAAGGTAAAGCAATCACTTTGTAAGATATTAATTAAAATAAACTATGTTTATTATTTTTTAATCTTAACTATTAACTGATAGATCACGGATAAAGCAGAAAAAATAACGGTAACTTTAAATACTTTTAATAATGAAAAAACGGGCGTCCTTAGTGGAGATAAAATAAACAACCTCACATATATAAACTTAAACAAATTTAAGAACAATAAGTTGTAAGTTTATTTATAGACTGTAAACACTGAGGCCTACTGCAGAATGGCCTCGCCTAGGAAACGTAAACGCGTTTCTATGGCCTAACAATATTAAATACTTAGAACAATAAACGGGCACTTTAGTGAAAATAAACAACCTCAAATATATAAACTTAAACAAATTTAACAACAATAAATTGCAAGTTTATTAAAATATTGTAAACACTGAGGCCTACCGTGCAAGGGCCTCGCCTAGGAAACGTAAACACGTTTCCATGGCCTAACAATAACAATACTTTTAATAGTAAACGGGAGTCCTTAGTGGAGCTAAACAAACAACCTCAAATATATCAACTTAAAAAAATAGAACAATAAATTGTAAGTTTATAAATTGTAAACACTGAGGCCTACTGTTGAAGGGCCTCGCCTAGGAAACTTAGACGTTTCCATGGCGTAATAATAACAATATTAAATACTTTTTTAGGAGAATAAATAGACTACGTAGTGGAGATAAATAAATAACACAAGTATACAAACTTAAAAGTAAAACAAAAATAAATGGAAAGTATTTATAGACTCGAGTATACACAGCGGCCTACTACAGAAGAACCTCGCCTAAGGAATGTAAACACGTTGCCATGGTAGCGCGTGACGTCATCGCGCGAGGGCGTGGGGTTCTCCCCCCCCCCCCATGCACCCGCCCCTCCAATTTCCCCTCAGCCCCCTCCCCTCCAATGTCCCCTCATCCCTCGCCCCTCCAACCCCCCCCCTCACCCCCTCCCCTCCAACCCCCCCCTCACCCCTCCCCTCCAACCCCCCCTCATCCCCCTCCCCTCCAACCCCCTCCAACCCCTTCCTCACCCCCTCCCCTCCAACCCCCCCTCATCCCCCTCCCCTCCAACCCCTTCCTCACCCCCCTCTCCTCCAATCCCCACATCCCCCGCCCCTCCAACCCTCCCCATCCCCCGCCCCTCAAACCCCCCCTCATCCCCCTCCCCTCCAACCCCCTCCAACCCCTTCCTCACCCCCTCCCCTCCAACCCCCACATCCCCCGCCCCTCCAACCCCCCCCCTCATCCCCCACCCCTCCAATCCCCCCTCATCCCCCACCCCTCCAACCCTTCCTCACCCCCTCCCCTCCAACCCTCCCCATCCCCCGCCCCTCAAACCCCCCCTCATCCCCCGCCCCTCCAACCCTCCCCCTCATCCCCGCCCCTCCAACCCTCTCCTCCAATCCCCTCCAACCCCCCCTCATCCCCCTCTCATCCCCCGCCCCTCCAATCCCTCCCCCTCACCCCCCTCTCCAATCCCCTCCACCCCCCCCCCTCATCCCCCTCCCCTCCAACCCTCCCCATCCCCCCGCCCCTCCAACTCCTCCCCCTCCTCCCCCTCATCCCCCGCCCCTCCAACCCCCTCCAACCCCCCCTCACCTCCCTCTCCTCCAACCCCCCCCTCACCCCCCGCCCCTCCAACCCCTCCTCTCATCCCTCATCCCTCCAACCCCCCCCACCACCACCAACCGCCACGTAATGGGCGTGGCTCCCTCACCCCCAACTCCACCCAAACATCACCCCCACCCCAACCCCGCAAAACCACCGCGCGGCAAACGCTGATTGGTCAATACCTCCATTTAGGGGCGGGGCTAAGTAGAGCGGGAGGGTGGGGGGGTGAGGAAGAGGTGTGGCCACCCGTAAGTGTAGGGGGGGGACCAATCAGCGACGTGCATCGTTCAATAAAACCACGGGGCCCCGGTGCCGCTAGCGACAGAAGCTGAGAAGCCGGCATCTGAGCACAGCTTGCGGCCTTCATCTAAACCTTCAGACTCGTAACAGGTAAACATTGATTGTTTTAACAAATATATATTAATTACATTTTAATCAGTCGTATTTAGTCGGTTCGCGTCGTGTGGACGATGAGAGTTTGCGCGCTGATTTGGGATCGTTTTGGGTTGGCGTTGGTTGACATCGTCTCGTGGTGCACCTAGCCTGGCACAGGCGTCGTGGTGACATCACCGCCACTGTCGCTTAGTAACAAACAGCGGTTGTTGTTGACGTGCACCTAGCCTGGCACAGGCGTCGTGGTGACATCACCGCCACTGTCGCTTAGTAACAAACAGCGGTTGTTGTTGACGTGCACCTAGCCTGGCACAGGCGTTGTGGTGACATCACCACCACTGTCGCTTAGTAACAAACAGCGGCTGTTGTTGTTGTTGACGTGCACCTAGCCTGGCACAGTGGTGACATCACCACCACTGTCGCTTAGTAACAAACAGCGATTGTTGTTGTTGACGTGCACCTAGCCTGGCACAGGCGTCGTGGTGACATCACCGCCACTGTCGCTTAGTAACAAACAGCGGTTGTTGTTGACGTGCACCTAGCCTGGCACAGTGGTGACATCACCACCACTGTCGCTTAGTAACAAATAGCGGCTGTTGTTGTTGTTGACGTGCACCTAGCCTGGCACAGTGGTGACATCACCACCACTGTCGCTTAGTAACAAACAGAGCTTGTTGTTGACGTGCACCTAGCCTGGCACAGGCGTCGTGATGACATCACCACCACTTAGTAGTGAGCTGTTGTTGTTGTTGACGTGCACCTAGCCTGGCACAGGCACAGTGATGACATCACCACCACTTAGTAGTGAGCTGTTGTTGTTGTTGACGTGCACCTAGCCTGGCACAGTGGTGACATCACCACTTAGTAGTGAGCTGTTGTTTACGTGAACCTAGCCTGGCACCAGGCACAGTGGTGACATCACCACCACTTAGTAGTGAGCTGCTGTTGTTGTTGACGTGCACCTAGCCTGGCACAGGCACAGTGGTGACATCACCACCACTTAGTAGTGAGCTGCTGTTGTTGACGTGCACCTAGCCTGGCACAGGCACAGTGGTGACATCACCACCACTTAGTAGTGAGATGTTGTTGATGTGAACCTAGCCTGGCACAGTGGTGACATCACCACCACTTAGTAGTGAGCTGTTGTTGTTGTTGACGTGCACCTAGCCTGGCACAGTGGTGACATCACCACCACTTAGTAGTGAGCTGCTGTTGTTGTTGACGTGCACCTAGCCTGGCACAGTGGTGACATCACCACCACTTAGTAGTGAGCTGCTGTTGTTGTTGACGTGCACCTAGCCTGGCACAGGCACAGTGGTGACATCACCACCACTTAGTAGTGAGCTGTTGTTGTTGTTGACGTGCACCTAGCCTGGCACAGTGGTGACATCACCACCACTTAGTAGTGAGCTGTTGTTGATGTGAACCTAGCCTGGCACAGGCACAGTGGTGACATCACCACCACTTAGTAGTGAGCTGTTGTTTACGTGAACCTAGCCTGGCACCAGGCACAGTGGTGACATCACCACCACTTAGTAGTGAGCTGTTGTTTACGTGAACCTAGCCTGGCACCAGGCACAGTGGTGACATCATCACCACTTAGTAGTGGGGGGGGAGTGGGGAGAGGCGGGGCGGGGAGATGAGTGGGGGAGTAGGAGGGGAGTAGGAGGGGGGGATGAGTGGGGGGAGTGGTGGTGGTGGTGTGAGTAGTGTGAGTAGGTGGTGGTGTGAGTGGGTGGAGGTGGTGGTGGTGTGGGTGGTGGTGGTGGTGGTGTGAGTGGTGGTGGTGGTGTGAGTGGTGGTGGTGGTGTGAGTGGTGGTGGTGGTGGTGGTGTGGGTGGTGGTGGTGGTGGTGGTGTGGGTGGTGGTGGTGGTGTGAGTGGGAGGAGTAGGTGGTGGTAGTGGTGTGAGTGGTGTGAGTGGTGGTGGTGAGTGGTGTGAGTGGTGGTGGTGGTGTGAGTAGTGTGAGTGGTGGTGTGAGTGGTGGTGTGAGTGGTGGTGGTGGTGGTGTGAGTAAGTGGTGGTGTGAGTAGGTAGTGGTGTGAGTGGGTGGTGGTGGTGTGAGTGGTGTGAGTGGTGTGAGTGGTGTGAGTGGTGGTGGTGTGAGTGAGATGAGTGTGAACCTGCTCTCGACCACAGCTGCAAGTCCACAGCTCCACGTAGATTCACGCCCCCACTTGATGCAGCTGGAGCTGATGTTGCTACAGCAGTAACAACAACAGCTCGTGTTGTTATCATCATGCTGCTGTTGTTGTTACTGCTGCTGCAGCAGTAACAACAACAACAGCTCTTGTTGTTATCATCATGCTGCTGTTGTTGTTGTTACTGCTGCTGCTGCAGCAGTAACAACAACAACAGCTCGTGTTGTTATCATCATGCTGCTGTTGTTGTTGTTACTGCAACAGTAACAACAACAGCTCGTGTTGTTATCATCATGCTGCTGCTGTTGTTGTTGTTACTGCTGCTGCTGCCAACAACAGCGTCGTTGACGCAGCAGTAACAACAACAACAACGGCAGCCGTAATGGAGTTGTTTGTGTGTTAGATCGTGTAAATGTGTTAATGTTGTGTCGTTAAGACCCGCCACCACCCGACACAGCCCAACTAGTGAGGGTTGTCACGTGAACAGAACGTGGCCAATTTGTCACGAGTGTAGCGTGTAGTGTGTAGTGTAGTGTGTAGTAGTGTGTAGTGTATAGTGTAGTGCAGTGTATAGTGCAGTGTATAGTAGTGCAGTGTATAGTAGTGCAGTGTATAGTAGTGTAGTGTGTAGTAGTGTAGTATGTAGTAGTGCAGTGTATAGTAGTGCAGTGTATAGTAGTGTATAGTGTATAGTAATGTGTTAATGTTGTGTCGTTAAACCCGCCACCACCCGACACAGTCCAACGAGTGAGGGTTGTCACGGGAACAGAACGTGGCCAATTTGTCAATAGTACACCACTAGAGTATAGTGTATAGTGTAGTAGTGTATAGTGTGTAGTAGTGTATAGTGTAGTGTATAGTAGTGTAGTAGTGTATAGTAGTGTATAGTGTAGAAAGTGTATAGTGTAGTAGTGTATAGTAGTGTAGTGTGTAGTAGTGTAGTGTATAGTAGTGTAGTGTATAGTAGTGTAGTGTATAGTAGTGTATAGTGTAGTGTGTAGTAGTGTAGTGTATAGTGTAGTAGTGTATAGTGTAGTGTATAGTAGTGTAGTGTGTAGTAGTGTAGTGTATCGTAGTGTAGTGTATAGTGTATAGTAGTGTAGTGTGCAGTGTAGTGTATAGTGGTGTAGTGTATAGTGTAGTGTATATTTGTGTGTAGTGTATAGTGTAGTGTATATTTGTGTGTAGTGTATAGTGTAGTGTATATTTGTGTGTAGTGTATAGTAGTGTATAGTGTAGTGTATAGTGGTGTAGTGTGTAGTGTAGTGTATAGTGCAGTATACCAGTACAGGGGACCGGTTTGTTGGAGCGCCAAGCCACAACATGAACTCTCCGAGTATCACGCTTGCTTGATATACGTTGACTCAGTAACCTCCCCCTTCCACACTTTGCACAAGAGCGCACACACACACAGACAGAAGCCTGGTCACCGCCGCTGTGTGAGGATCTGGGCAGGTGGACGTCTCCACAAATGTGGCTGTCGCATCATGGAGCCGCTCGTGATTACTGGCGAAGCGTCACGTTGCTCGGATTGTTCATGTTGTGGCTTGGCTCTCCACACACACAACCGGTGTGCTGTACTAGTACACCGCACTATACACTACACTATACACTACACTATACACACTACACTATACACACTACACTATACACACTCCACTATACACACTCCACTATACACTACACTATACACTACACTATACGCTACACTATACGCTACACTATACACTACACTATACACTACACTATACACACTACACTATACACTACACTATACGCTACACTATACGCTACACTATACGCTACACTATACGCTACACTATACACTACACTGCTATACACTACACTGCTATACACTACACTACTATACACTACACTATACACTACTATACACTACACTATACACTACTATACACTACACTACTATACACTACACTACTATACACTACACTACTATACACTATTATACACTATACACCACTATACACTACACTACTATACACTACACTATACACTACACTATACACTATACACTACTTACACTACACCACTATACACTACACCACTATACACTACACCACTATACACTACACCACTATACACTACACTATACACTACTACACACTACACGATACGCTACACTATACACAACACTACTATACACTACACTATACACTACACTATACACTACACCACTTTACACTACACCACTATACACTACACCACTGTACACTACACTACTATACACTACACTGTACACTACACTACGCTACTATACACTACTATACACTACACCACTATACACTACACTACTATACACTACACCACTATACACTACACTACTATACACTACTATACACTACACCACTATACACTACACTACTATACACTACACTACTGTACACTACACTACTGTACACTACACTACTGTACACTACACTACTATACACTACACTACTATACACTACACTACTATACACTACACTACTATACACTACACTACTATACACTACACTACTATACACTACACTACTATACACTACACTACTACATACTACACGATACGCTACACTATACACAACACTACTATATACTACACTATACACTACTATACACTATACACTACACTATACACTACACTACTATACACTACACTACTACAGTGAGGGAAAAAGTATTTAATCCCCTGCTGATTTTGTACGTTTGCCCACTGATAAAGAAATGATCAGTCTATAATTTTAATGGTAGGTTTATTTGAACAGTGAGAGACAGAATAACAACAACAAAATCCAGAAAAATGCATGTCAAAAATGTTATAAATTGATTTGCTATTTAATGAGGGAAATAAGTATTTGACCCCCTCTCAATCAGAAAGATTTATGGCTCCCAGGTGTCTTTTATTCAGGTAACGAGCTGAGATTAGTAGCACACTCTTAAAGGGAGTGCTCCTAATCTCAGCTTGTTACCTGTATAGAAGACACCTGTCCACACAATCAATCAATCAGATTCCAAACTCTCCACCATGGCCAAGACCAAAGAGCTGTCCAAGGATGTCAGGGACAAGATTGTAGACCTACACTAGGCTGGAATGGGCTACAAGACCATTGCCAAGCAGCTTGGTGAGAAGGTGACAACAGTTGGTGCGATTATTCGCAAATGGAAGAAACACAAAAGAACTGTCAATCTCCCTCGGCCTGGGGCTCCATGCAAGATCTCACCTCGTGGAGTTGCAATGATCATGAGAACGGTGAGGAATCAGCCCAGAACTACACGGGAGGATCTTGTCAATGATCTCAAGGCAGCTGGGACCATAGTCACCAAGAAAACAATTGGTAACACACTACGCCGTGAAGGACTGAAATCCTGCAGCGCCCGCAAGGTCCCCCTGCTCAAGAAAGCACATATACATGTCCGTCTGAAGTTTTCCAATAAACATCTGAATGATTCAGAGGACAACTGGGTGAAAGTGTTGTGGTCAGATGAGACCAAAATGGAGCTCTTTGGCATCAACTCAACTCGCCGTGTTTGTAGGAGGAGGAATGCTGCCTATGACCCCAAGAACACCATCCCCACGGTCAAACATGGAGGTGGAAACATTATGCTTTGGGGGTGTTTTTCGGCTAAGGGGACAGGACAACTTCACCGCATCAAAGGGACGATGGACGGGGCCATGTACCGTCAAATCTTGGGTGAGAACCTCCTTCCCTCAGCCAGGGCATTGAAAATGGGTCGTGGATGGGTATTCCAGCATGACAATGACCCAAAACACACGGCCAAGGCAACAAAGGAGTGGCTCAAGAAGAAGCACATTAAGGTCCTGGAGTGGCCTAGCCAGTCTCCAGACCTTAATCCCATAGAAAATCTGTGGAGGGAGCTGAAGGTTCGAGTTGCCAAACGTCAGCCTCGAAACCTTAATGACTTGGAGAAGATCTGCAAAGAGGAGTGGGACAAAATCCCTCCTGAGATGTGTGCAAACCTGGTGGCCAACTACAAGAAACGTCTGACCTCTGTGATTGCCAACAAGGGTTTTGCCACCAAGTACTAAGTCATGTTTTGCAGAGGGGTCAAATACTTATTTCCCTCATTAAAATGCAAATCAATTTATAACATTTTTGACATGCGTTTTTCTGGATTTTGTTGTTATTCTGTCTCTCACTGTTCATATAAACCTACCATTAAAATTAGAGACTGATCATTTCTTTGTCAGTGGGCAAACGTACAAAATCAGCAGGGGATCAAATACTTTTTTTCCCTCGCTGTATACACTACACTACTATACACTACACTATACACTGCACTATACACTACACACTGCACTATACACTACACACTGCACTATACACTACACACTATACAATACACACTATACACTACACACTATACACTACATACTACACACTATACACTACACTACACACTGCACTACACTACACACTACACTAAACACTATACACTACACTACACACTATACACTACACTACACACTATACACTACATACTACACTACACTACTACATGCTGCACTACACTACACACTACACTAAACACTATACACTGCACTACACTAAACACTATACACTGCACTACACTAAACACTATACACTGTACACTATACGCTACACTATACACTACACTCGTGACGAATTGGCCACGTTCTGTTCACGTGACAACCCTGACTAGTTGGGCTGTGTCGGGTGGTGGCGGGTTTTAACGACACAACATTAACACATTTACACGATCTAACACACAAACAACTCCATTACGGCTGTTGTTGTTGTTGTTACTGCTGCGTCAGTGACGCTGTTGTTGGCAGCAGCAGCAGTAACAACAACAGCAGCAGCATGATGATAACAACACGAGCTGTTGTTGTTGTTACTGCTGCAGCAGCAGTAACAACAACAACAGCAGCATGATGATAACAACACGAGCTGTTGTTGTTGTTACTGCTGCGTCAACGACGCTGTTGTTGTTGTTACTGCTGCGTCAGTGACGCTCAATTTTGGGTGATTTTGGTCGCGACAGCCTCCGACGTTTTGAAGTGAATAACAACAGCATTGAGGTGGAGGGGTGGTGGGGGGGGAGGTGGGAGAAGGGTATGGGAGGGGTGAGAGGTCACGGAGCACAAAGGTGATGGGGCTGTAGTTGCCCCCTCCCTCCGCTCTCCCTCCCCCCTCCCTCCCTCCCTCCCCCCTCCCATCCCTCCCTCCCCCCTCCCTCCCCCCCTCCCCTCCCCCCTCCCTCCCTCCCCTCTCCCCCCTGTTTTCTATCTTTTAGAAGATGCTCGGTGTAGTCGGCACTTTGCTTCGGTCATTATTTCGTTGTTTTTTTTTTAAGATTTGCTTTATGTAACCCCACCCCCCTCCCCCCCCCAACCTTTCAAATGAAAGACCCAACAAAAGATTTTTATTTTTCTTTATAACTACGACGAGTGCTGCATCAGCACGCAGCCCCTTCCCGCAGTCAAACGGCCTCCGACGGGGTAGCTCACAATCTGCACACGCACAGAGAGAGCCCCTCCACCGTCGCCTGCCACCGAGCTCACGGCCTCCTCCAGCTGCCCACCGCTCCTTGAAGGCCGGCACGGCGTGGGCCGGCCGCGCCGCACGGCGGAACTCCGGGCCCACGCCACACCCCGGCTCCGACCGGAGCGCGGAAGATGGCCCCGGGCTGCAGGCCGGACGTCGCCCCTCCAGGGCCACCTCCCTCGCCCTGTGTGTGCACGGCGAGCTTGGCGTCTTGCCCCCCTTGCCCCCCTCCCTCTCTCCCCGGGGCCACGGCTGCATTGTGAGTGTCCGCGCTGACCGCGCCCCTCGGCGCCCCTTGGCCGCTATGAGATGTTGACTACCTCGCCTGGTCCGCAGGAGGTCTATGTGGAGTCTGTGTGTCTCTCATCATCATCATCATCACGGTGGCTAGGAGATGTTGACTACCTCGCCTGGTCTACAGGTCTATGTGGAGTCTGTGTCTCTCTCTCATCATCATCATCACGGTGGCTATGAGATGTTGACTACCTCGCCTGGTGCGCAGGAGGTCTATGTGGAGTCTGTCTGTCTCTCATCATCATCACGATGGCTAGGTGATGTTGACTACCTCGCCTGGTCCGCAGGAGGTCTATGTGGAGTCTGCGTCTCCCTCTCATCATCACCACGGTGGCTATGAGATGTTGACTACCTCGCTTAGTACGCAGAAGGTCGTGAGTTTGATCCCGTGACCCCTACTGGATAGTTGGAGTCTGTGTCTCTCATCATCACGGTGACTATGAGATGTTGACTACCTCGCCTGGTACGCAGGAGGTCGTCGGATCAGTCTACGGCTCTCAGCATCATCGTTGTCATCGTCATTATAGCGCGTCCACCTCATCTCTCACCCCCTCCCCTCCATCTCCTCCAACGCCCACCCCCAGGCACCACCGCACCGTACCGCACTCCGTCTCCGCTCCGCACTCCTCTCACCATGCTCACTCGTCTCGGCTCTCTGCTATTCGGCGCTGGCGGCGCCGGTGCCGGTGACGGTGACGGTGCCGAGCAGCTGGCACGGTCGCTGGGGCAGGTGGAGGCCTCCGACGGGTGGGTGATCATCGGCAAGCCAGGTGACTGCCCCGCACGCTCAACCACTCGTTCATCCACCCACTCGTTCACCCGCTCGCTCATTCACGCGCTCACTCACCCACCCACTCGCTCGCTAACCCACTCACACACTCGCCCACTCACCCACTCACTCGCTCAACCACTCGCTCACCCACTCACTCACTCAGCCACCCACCCACCCACCCACTCACTCAATCACCAATTTACTCACTCACCCACTCACTCAATCACCAATTCACTCACCCACTCACTCAATCACCCACTCACACACTCGCACACACACTCGCTCAACCACACACTCACACACTCACTCACCCACCCACATACTCACTCACTCACTGGCACTCACTCAATCACCAATTCACTCACCCACTCACTCAATCAACAACAACCGCCATTCGCCACTAAGTGGCGGTGACGTCACCACGACACTTGTACCAGGCTATGTGCACCTTGAGGCCACGTGAAGTGTCGAACGCCCGCGGGCAGGAGGTCACGGGGCAGACCCAGGTGCCACGGGTCAACTGACTGAGATGACTGGCTGGTGCACCACCTGTGCCCTCTACTGTGCCAACCTGCTGTGCTTTAGCCACCCGGCGCTCCGCTCGTTGTTGTGAGCGTCGCTCCTCCGCCCTCCGTTGTTGTTGGAGGGCGACTCCAACTGCCCAGTAGCGTCCTTCACGAGCCTCCTCCACAGAGGCCGATCTTGACACCGCTGGTACCAGTCATCGGCAAGTCCACTCAGCTCCACGTCCTCCTGTACCACATCACTCCATCTCTTCTCTAGCCCGTGCCGCGCCCGTTTAGCCCCCTCGATCCGGCCGAACAAAAGCTGTTTCGGCATGCGGTGGCTGGGCATGCGGGCTACATGGCCCAGCCAACGCAGCCTTGCCTGCCGGAGGAGCTCACCGATGGGACCTTGCCCAGATCTTTCAAGGATTTGTGAGCTCCTCACACAATCCAGCCTGGTTAAACCCAGGATGGATCGTAGGCAGGCCAGCCTAAATGTTTCCAACCGGCGAAGATGCTCCATTAAGGGGGTCCACGTTTCGCAAGTGTGGAGAAGGGAGGGAATGACCGTGGCCGAGAAGACCTGAAGCTTAGTGCGGAGTGACAGACCAGGTAGCTTCCACACAGCGTTACGCAACCGATGAAAAGATATTGCCGCTCGACTGATTCAGAGTGAGACCTCTGCTGTTAAACTGGAGCCGGTCATAAGCACACTGCCCAGGTATGGGAAACTCTCCACTCTCTCCATAGCTGCCCCATCACCGATTGGGAGTTGTGGGGGTGGAGTGTCCGATGGTACAAAATGCCCAGGCAGGTGCTTAGTTTTGGTGGGGCTGATGGTAAGGCCCCATCTCTTAGTGGCACGCTCCAGTGTCAGCAGCAGCATCTCCAACTCCTCCTCTGAATGAGCAGCTATTACCAAATCATCGGCATACATAACGTGGTTGAGCAATAGGGAGCCATCCCTTGATCACACCCGGGCATCGATCAGCCTCCCATTGTATCTGTACCAAATGGAGATTCCCCTGGTACAGCTATTGAAGGCTTCACAAACTACGTGATCAAAATAGATGTTAAATAATGTGGGAGCCAGAGGACATCCCTGTCGCACCCCAATGTGTACAGGGAATGGCTCTGACTCCCGGCCACGTAGTTTTACCCGGGCCCGCTCACCATCATGAAGGTCCTTAATGATCCAAAAGCATGAAGAACAACCCAGAGCCCAGGCCTACTGATGGTATCAGAGGCCTTGACCAGGTCAATAAAGCAGAGATGTAGGTCTTGTTGGAATTCCCTACATCTCTGCTGTAGCATAAGGACAGAAAATATGGCATCTGTGTAGGACCGCCCTTTCCTGAAACCGCATTGGGGCTCCGCAAGCCTCTCCTCAGCGTGCCTGGCAAGGCAATGGTGAATAATCCTTGCCAGGACCTTTCCCGGCACACTGAGGAGTGAGATGCCCCTGTAGTTGTTACAGTCTGTGCGGTCCCCCTTCTTAAAAAGGGGGACCACCAGGGCATCCTTCCAATCCTGCGGAACCCGTCCAGTGGTCCAGACTGTTGTTATGATGTCATATAGGGCAGTCTGTGCACACACGCCACCCTCCCTCAGCATTTCGCTTGGTAGATCATTTCTGCCCGCTGCCTTTCCTGGTCTCAGACTCCGGATCGCCTTCAGTACTTCCTCAACAGATGGTACTTCAGCCAGCCACTCACAGGGGGTGACTTCTTCCAATATTTGAGGCACCGCAGCCTCAGCAGGGTCATCCTCACTCTGTGCCACGATGTTTTCCTGGCTGAGGGATTTTTCCTCCCCCAGGACCTCGCAGAAATGCTCAGCAAATCTGCAAACCTGTTCCTGTGGGTCGGAGATTGGATCGCCGTTTTTTCCCCTAATGATGGTAATAGGTGTGGCGCTGCAGGTTACTTTTGTGATGGAGTTAAATAGAGATTTGTGATCGCGGGCCACTGAGGCAGACTCCATCTCCTCAGCAACCCGCGACCACCACCCTTCCTTGCAGCACCTCACGGCTCTCCGAACCTCCGAGCGAAGGCTGCGGTAAGCCTCCTCATTCTCTGACGTGGGATTCTGTAGCTGATGACAGTGGGCCTGTCGCTTTTTCTCAGCCAGCCTGAACACCTCCTCTGTCAGCCGGGGTCTCTGGGGAGGTCTGGACCGCGTTCCCAAAGCAGCCATTGAAGCTGCATTAGTCACAGTCCTAAACCTCGCCCATTTACCCTCGACATCAGGAGGAGTGGGGGACAATGCCAACCCCAGCCGCAAGCGATGATGAAATTCTCGCTTTCAACTTTCATCAGATAACTGAGACCAGGCCACTTTAGGTTGGAATGGGGTGGAAGAATGGCAGGCGCATCTTACAGATGACTAGTCGATAGTCAGAAGGCAGATCAGCTCCACGGTAGGTCCTGGTGTCAAGGACATGGGCTCGCATCTGCTGGTCCGTCACTATGTAGTCCAGCAGATGTTCTTGCTTGGACCCGGCATGTATCCATGATGTTGTGTGGATGCTCCGATGCTGGAACAGCGTGTTGGTAATTACAAGCCCATGGGCTGCACAAAAATCTAGCAGCCTCCTACCGTTGTTATTGAGCTGATCTGGCCCATGCCCTCCAATCACTCCAGACCAGGTGCCAGCATCATGACCAACTCGGGCATTGAAGTCACCCAACAAGATGACTCTATCCCGAGGGGCCACTTTAGCCAGCACCTGTGACAGGAGGTCATAGAAGGCATCTGACTCATCGACTTTGCCTGCATCCCTCCACGGATGTTCGTCTTCGGTGGGGTATAAGTAACCACGACCACCACTCCTCGCCTCCGGTTGATGGGAAGGCGAGCCCAAAGTAGCCTGGGGCTTACAGCTTCTCACACCTCACCGCCACCCTCCCACGCCCCCTACATTCTTCTGCAATCACCCACTCATACACACACACTCACTCAACCCCACACTCGCTCACCCACTCACTCACACTCCACCCACTCAATCACCCACTCAATCACCCACTCACACACTCGCTCACCCACTTACTCACTCACCCACTCACTCACCCACCCACCCACTCACCCACCCACCCACCCACTCACTCACCTGCTCAATCACCCACTCACACACTCGCTCACTCACCCACTTGCTCACTCACCCACTTACTCACTCGCCCACTCACCACTCCCTCACCCACCCACTCACCCACCCACTCACCCACCCACTCACCCACCCACTCACCCACCCACCTACTCACTGACTCACTCACCCACCCACCCACCGACCCACTCACCCACCCACACACTCACTCACCTGCTCAATCACCCACTCGCTCACTCGCTCACTCACCCACTTGCTCACTCACCCACTTACTCACCCACTCACCACTCCCTCACCCACCCACTCACCCACCCACTCACTGACCCACTTACCCACCGAACTCACCCACCCACCGAACTCGCTCAGCCCCCTTTCCACCCCCCTCTCCCCTCCCTCTCCCCTCCCTCTCCCCCCTCACAGAGACGACCTCTGACCTCTCCCCGCCATCCTCCCCTCCGGCCTCCGCACCGGAGGCCTCTCCGGCGCCGTTGGCTGATCGGCAAATCGGGCGTCCCGACGGCGTCGCGAGGCGGCGCCGGCAAAGACGGTGAGCACCGCCGGCACCGGCACCGGCACCATCATGCGCAGCAAAGACAAAGGTCCCCCGCGTAGCCTGCAGCAGACTGTCGGGGCAAGTGGCTGTCACTAGCCAGCAGCAGCAGCGTCTGTGAAGGCTACCGGCGCTGTGGCTTACACACAGAGGGGGCGGGTGGCCGGCACCACGCCCGGCCGCCTTTGTCTCCCCCGCATTGGCGATGCCGTTGCTACCACACACCGCCTGCAGCAGGTAACTCGGTTGAGGCCGAGTCGACCTAGGGGAGAGCCCAGTGAACAATTCGGACACCCGCCCACTCACCAACTCACTCATTCACCCACTCACTCATTCACCCACCCTCTCAACCACTCACTCATTCACCCACCCACTCATTCACCCACCCACTCATTTACCCACCCACTCATTTACCCACCCACTCACCCACTCACTCATTCACCCACCCACTCATTTACCCACCCACTCACCCACTCACTCATTAACCCACCCACTCATTTACCCACCCACTCACCCCCTCACTAATTCACCCACTCATTCACCCACTCGCTCATTCACCCACCCACTTATTCACCCACCCTCCCACCCGCTCACTCATTCACCCACTCATTCATTCACCTACCCACTCACTCATTCACCCACTCACTCATTCACCCACCCTCTCAACCACTCACTCATTCACCCACCCACTCATTCACCCACCCACTCATTTACCCACCCACTCAATCACTCACTCATTCACCCACCCACTCATTTACCCACCCACTCACCCCCTCACTAATTCACCCACTCATTCACCCACTCGCTCATTCACCCACCCACTCACTCATTCACCCACTCACTCATTCACCTACCCACTCATTCACCCACCCACTCATTCACTCACTCATTCACCCACCCACTCATTTACCCACCCACTCACCCACTCACTCATTAACCCACCCACTCACCCCCTCACTAATTCACCCACTCACTCGTTCACCCACCCACTTATTCACCCACCCTCTCACCCACTCACTCGTTCACCCACTCACTCGTTCACCCACTCACTCGTTCACCCACTCACTCGTTCACCCACTCACTCGTTCACCCACCCACTTATTCACCCACTCTCCCACTCACTCACTCACTCACCAACTCACTCGCTCTCCCGCCCCGCTTGCTCACCCACCCACCCACCCACTTGACCTGCCCTTCACCAGGTCGGCGCCAGCTTCCGCCGTCGCCGCCGGCGCCGCCTCGCCGCCTTCCTCCCAAGACGGGCGGCCGGCGCTGCCGGCGGCGGCCACGGCCGCCGCCGCCGCCGCGGCCGTGGCCGCCCCGACCGCCCGCCTGCGGGCGGTCTCCGAGCGGGCGAGGACGCGTGCCGACGGCGCCCGGCTGGCGCGCCGTGGGCTCAAGCGCCGGAACGCCGCCGCCGCCGCCGCCGGCGCCGCCCCGCCCCGGCAGTCTCGCCGCTTCATCCAACAGCCGGCGCGGCGCGGCGCCGCCACCGGCGCCTGCTGGCGGTGATGGCGCTCGCTCGCTCGTCAACGTGGCGGTGGCGGCGGTGGTGGGGGGAGCGGCGGCGGTGGCGGTGGCGGTGGCAGCCCGGAGTGGGCGCTGGCTGGCGAACGGCCGGCATCTGCCGAGACTTTCTTCGTCACCACACCGACTCCTCTTGGATACCCATTGGACGCCCCTGACCCCACCCCCCCTGACCCCTGACCCCACCCCCCTGACCCCTGACCCCACCCCCCCCCCCCTTGACCCCACCCCCTTGACCCACCCCTGACCCCCGACCCACCCCCCCCACACGCAACTGGACGATGCCTTCCCAGCACAAATGGACAATTCGGCCGAGTGGGAACCGCGGTGTGTCTGTGTGTGTCTGTCTGTCTGTCTGTGTGTGTGTCTTGACACTTCACGTGGCCTCAAGGTGCACATGGCCTGGCACAAGCGTCGTGGTGACGTCACCGCCACTTAGTGGCGAATGGCGGTTGTTGTTGTTGTTGTGTCTCGCCTTCCCATCAATCGGAGGCGAGGAATGGTGGTCGTGGTTACTTATGCCCCCACCGAAGACGAACATCCGTGGAGGGATGCAGGCAAGGCCGATGAGTCAGATGCCTTCTATGACCTCCTGTCACAGGTGCTGGCTAAAGTGGCCCCTCGGGATAGAGTCATCATGTTGGGTGACTTCAATGCCCGAGTTGGTCATGATACTGGCACCTGGTCTGGAGTGATTGGAGGGCATGGGCCAGATCAGCTCAATAACAACGGTAGGAGGCTGCTAGATTTTTTGTGCAGCCCATGGGCTTGTAATTACCAACACGCTGTTCTGGCATCGGCACATCCACGCAACATCGTGGATGCATGCCGGGTCCAAGCAAGAACATCTGCTGGACTCCTTAGTGACGGACCAGCGAATGCGTGCCAATGTCGTTGACACCAGGACCTACCGTGGAGCTGATCTGCCCTCTGACCATCGACTAGTCGTCTGTAAGATGCGCCTGCCATTCTTCCACTCCGGTGGTGGGTGTACACCCAGGACCCCATTCAAACCCACAGTGGCCTGGTCTCAGCTAGCTGATGAAAGTTGCAAGCGAGAATTTTATCATTGCTTGCGGCTGGGGTTGGCATCTTCCCCCGACTCCTCCTGATGTCGAGGGTAAATGGGCGAGGTTTAGGACTGTGACTCATGCAGCTGCAATGGCTGCTTTGGGTACATGGTCCAGACCTCCCCAGAGACCCTGGCTGACAGAGGAGGTGTTCAGGATGGTTGAGAAAAAGCGACAGGCCCACTGTCATCATCTACAGCATCCCACGTCGGAGAATGAGGAGGCTTACCGCAGCCTTCACTCAGAGGTTCCGAGAGCCGTGAGGCGCTGCAAGGATTGGTGGTGGTCGCGGGTTGCTGAGGAGATGGAGTCTGCCTCAGTGGCCCGCGATCACAAATCTCTATTTAACTCCATCAAAAAGTAACCTGCAGTGCTACACCTATTACCATCATTAGGGGAAAAACGGTGATCCAATCTCCGACCCCCAGGAACAGGTTTGCAGATTTGCTGAGCATTTCTGTGAGGTCCTGGGGGAGGGGAAATCCCTCGGCCTGGAAAACATCGTGGCACAAAGTGAGGATGACCATGCTGAGGCTGCGGTGCCTCAAATATTGGAAGAAGTCACCCCCTGTGAGTCACTGACTGAGGTGCCATCTGTTGAGGAAGTACTGAAGGCGATCCGGAGTCTGAGACCAGGAAAGGCACCGGGCAGAGATGATCTCCCAAGCGAAATGCTGAGAGAGGGTGGCGTTTGTGCACAGACTGCCGTACATGATATCATAACGGTCTGAACCACTGGATGGGTTCCGCAGGATTGGAAAGATGCCCTGGTGGTCCCCCTCTTTGAGAAGGGGGACCGCACAGTCTAACATCTACAGGGGCATCTCACTCCTCAGTGTGCCGGGAAAGGTCCTGGCAAGGATTATTCAACATCGCCTTGCCAGGCACGCTGAGGAGAGACTGAAGGGAATTCCAACAAGACCTCCATCTCTGCTTTATTGACCTGGCCAAGGCCTATGATATCATCAGTAGGCCTGGGTTCTGGGTTATTCTTCATGCTTTCAGAGTCCCTGACCCTCTGCTCACGATAATTAAGGACCTTCATAATGGTGATCGGGCCTGGGTAACACTACGTGGCCGGGAGTCAGAGTCATTCCCTGTACACTTTGAGGTGCGACAGGGATGTCCTCTGGCTCCCACATTATTTAACATCTATTTTGACCACGTAATTCATGAAGCCTTCTATCCTGTAACGGAGGAATTTCCATCTGGTACAGATACAATGGGAGGCTGATCAATGCCCAGGTGCAGTCAAGGGATGGCTCCCTATTGCTCAACCATGTTATGTATGCCGATGATCTGGTAATTGCTGCTTACTCAGAGGAGGAGTTGGAGACGCTGCTGTTGAACCTGGAGCTTGCCACTAAGAGGTGGGGCCTTACCATCAGCCCCACCAAAACTAAGCATCTGCCTGGGTATTTTGAACCATTGGACACTCCACCCCCACAACTCCCAATTGGTGATGGGGCAGTTGCGGAGAGAATGGAGAATTTCCCATACCTGGGCAGTGTGCTCATGACTAGCTCCGGTTTAATAGCGGAGGTCTCATTCCGCATCAGTCAAGTGGCATTATCTTTTCATCAGTTGCGTAACGCTGTGTGGAAGCTACCTGGTCTCTCGCTCCGCACTAAGCTTCAGGTCTTCTCGGCCACGGTCATTCCCCCCCTTCTCTACGCTTGCGAAACGTGGACCCCCTTAATGGAGCATCTTCGCCGGTTAGAAAAATTTAGATTGGCCTACCTACGATAAATCCTGGGTTCAACCAGGCTGGATTGTGTGAGGAGCTCACACAACCTTGAAAGATCTGGACAAAGTCCCATCGGTGAGCTCCTCCGGCAGGCAAGGCTGCGTTGGCTGGGTTATGTAGCTCGCATGCCCAGCCATCGCATGCCTAAACAGCTTTTGTTCGGCCGGATCGAGGGGGCTAAACGGGCGCGGCACAGGCTAGAGAAGAGATGGAGTGATGTGGTACAGGAGGATGTGGAGCTGAGTGGACTTGCCGATGACTGGTACCAGCGGTGTCAAGATCAGCCTCTGTGGAGGAGGCTCGTGAAGGACGTTACTGGGCAGTTGGAGGCAGTCGTCCTCCAACAACAACAGAGGGCGGAGAGTGATGCTCACAACAACGAGCGGAGCGCTGGGTGGCTAAAGCGCAGCAGGTTGGCACAGTAGGGGGCACAGGTGGTGCATCAGCCAATCATCTGTCAGTCGACCCGTGGCACCTGGATCTGTCCCTTGACCTCGTGCCAGCGGGCGTTCGACACTTGACGTTGCCTCAACGTGCACATGGCCTGGCACAAGCGTCGTGGTGATGTCACCGCCACTAATTGGCGAATGGCGGTTGTTGTGTCTGTGTGTGTCTGTGTGTCTCTTGTGGGGAGTGGCAGTGTAGCGGTTAGCACTACGCTGTGCTATGAACCCGGCAACCGATCCCGGGCCTCCCCTAGGTCGACTCAGCCTCAATTGAGTACCTGGTGCAAGCTATGTGTATGGGTGAACGTCGCCACTGGGGATACAAAGGTGGTCGGGCGTGGTGCTGGCCACCCACCCCCTCGTGTGCCACAGTGCCAGTAGCCTTCACAGGTGCTGCTACTTGCTAACAGCCACTGGCCCCAAAAGTCTGTCAAGGCTACCTGGGGCATCTTTGTATCTTCGTGTGTCCGTGGTGCACGTGTGTTTGTGACCTCGTGCCAGCGGGCGTTCGACACTTCATGTGGCCTTAAAGTGCACAGCCTGGTATAGGCTCGCCCGCCCGCTCGCTCCACCATCGGCTCGCTCGCTCACTCCTTCACCCATCCACTCGCCCATCCACCCACTCGCTCACCCACTCATTCACCCAGCCTCTGCTGTGTGATGAGTCTATGGCTCTCTGCTGTGTGATGAGTCTATGGCTCTCTGTGTGTGGTGAGTCTATGGGTCTCTGCTGTGTGGTGAGTCTATGGCTCTCTGCTGTGTGATGAGTCTATGGGTCTCTGCCGTGTGATGAGTCTATGGCTCTCTGCTGTGTGATGAGTCTATGGGTCTCTGCTCTGTGTGATGAGTCTATGGGTCTCTGCTGTGTGATGAGTCTATGGGTCTCTGCTGTGTGATGAGTCTATGGCTCTCTGCTGTGTGGTGAGTCTATGGGTCTCTGCTGTGTGATGAGTCTATGGGTCTCTGCTGTGTGATGAGTCTATGGGTCTCTGCTGTGTGATGAGTCTATGGGTCTCTGCTGTGTGATGAGTCTATGGGTCTCTGCTGTGTGGTGAGTCTATGGGTCTCTGCTGTGTGATGAGTCTATGGGTCTCTGCTGTGTGGTGAGTCTATGGGTCTCTGCTGTGTGATGAGTCTATGGGTCTCTGCCGTGTGATGAGTCTATGGCTCTCTGCTGTGTGATGAGTCTATGGGTCTCTGCTCTGTGTGATGAGTCTATGGGTCTCTGCTGTGTGATGAGTCTATGGGTCTCTGCTGTGTGATGAGTCTATGGCTCTCTGCTGTGTGGTGAGTCTATGGGTCTCTGCTGTGTGATGAGTCTATGGGTCTCTGCTGTGTGATGAGTCTATGGCTCTCTGCTGTGTGATGAGTCTATGGGTCTCTGCTGTATGATGAGTCTATGGGTCTCTGCTGTGTGATGAGTCTATGGGTCTCTGCTGTGTGATGAGTCTATGGGTCTCTGCTGTGTGATGAGTCTATGGGTCTCTGCTGTGTGATGAGTCTATGGCTCTCTGCTAACTGCACGGATAAGTGACCACCGGCTCCCGCTCGGTGAATGAGAGTTCTGGGGTGCGTGTAGATGCTCCCCGAAGCGCTGCACAGTTGGATTCAAGAATCCCTCGCTGTCCTGGTGCTATGGACGCCATCCCGGTGCAAGCTGCCATGTGCCGGGCTGGGATGTCACCTGTGTACAATATAATTTGGGTGCACTATGTAATTGTA